AAGAGACAGGTGGAAGAAACCTGAGTTTCACAGTTTAGTCCCCAGGTTCAGATCCCTCGTGCTCACTGCTTACAATTCCTCCTGGGCTGGTTGATCCAATGTTTCAAGTGCAATTGTAAATGTCAACCATCAGCCTCCCCTGGGCAACCAGTGCGTCTTCAAAGAGGCCTCTTTCAACTGCCTTCCAGCAGCCCGCAGCAAGGAGTAGGCAGAGCATGGTTTCCCAAGCCCTCTGTTTCCTCAAGTCATATCCTCTTAATGATACTCACCTTATATGGACAAGTGTAGAAGGCATCAATAAACCATTACCTTTTTCTCTTTTCTATCTGCCTTTCTGTAATTTAAGGGTAATTGTATCTTCTAAATATCTTGGGTACTGGCACAAGTGACATCTGTTGCATGACTGGCCCCCTGAACGTGCTCTGCAGCCATGCCCCAACAGAAATGCACAGCTGCAGACAGCTTTAAAAGTGGCTAATCACATGACAAATTAACCCTCAGGTAATGAGGGATCAGATGAAGGTGCTCCAAAGCGGAGTGCCTTAAGAAACTTCTGTTAGTCCCCGTGCGGGATCAGGGCTGGGCTGATGCATTTTAGACACATCCCAAGTGCTGTCTGTACAAAGGGAGGGGGAACGAATGCACTGAGGGTTGGGGTTTGCCCAGCCTGAGCTGGAGCGGGGACAGGTGGATTGGAGCCCCCCAGCCCCTCTCCCTCCAGTTCAGGCTAGGCAAACCCCAGCCAGCATCGTGCTCCCCCTCCCTCCCTGCAGACAGCACCAGAGTTGGGAAGGGGAGTGGGGGGGAGGGGTGCTAGGGTAGAGAGGCTGCAGGCAAGCAGCTCCTTCGCTGGATCGGCTCCGAAGTGGAGCTTGATCTGTCCCCCTGCCCTCCCCCCTTTCTGTAAAGCAACATGAGTTAGAGCGGGGAGCTGCACTGCATGTCTGTCAGTGCCCCTTGTTAACTCGGGTGTGATCCACACTCCCCTGAAGACGATGGAAACATTTCCACTGTCTTTGAATCAGGCCCTACAAATGGCATTTTCACCAAGGTACTTTGCCATCCTTCTCTATATGATCAACTGAACATGAGAGGACCCATCTCACCCTTACAGCATGCAAGCCTGCTTTCCATTAAAATAGCAGCACTGGTGTGGCCAGTGACATCTTGGGGGGGAAATACAAAAATTAAATAACCTCTGCCCCCTGAAATTTAAACACCTGCTACCCTTTGGGAGCCACAAAGATATTATCCAGGGACAGTACTGCACAGTTGCAACACTTTTTGGGCAAAGGTTTTGAAGTCATTAGTTGCAAAGCAATACCCACAGCATTAGATGGTAGCAGGCATAGCTGCACTAATGGCAGAACATTAAGATCTACACTTTTCCCGGTTTGGAATTAAAGTCTACAAGATAGGTTGCACTTTTATTAACAGTTAGTATTACCTGAGCACTGGACAGGTCCCAACCAAGATCGTGGCTTAACTGTGCTGTATGGACTCACCTTACAGCAGGGCTATCTAGGAGAAGGCTCAGAAGTTAGGCAGAAAAGCTGCATTGCCTACCCATATTTTACAGATGGAAACCCAAGAGAGACACAGAGAGAGACTATCAAATGACATTAGTACACTGAGCCTGTAGCACAGCACAGAACTGAATCGGGAGGAGTCTCAGTCCAGTGCCTTCAGCATGGAACCATCCTTCTCTTCTGCACTGGTGTGAGACAATACACCGTTCATGAGCATGCAAACATTAATCCAGTGCAAGACCCAAGCGGTAACACCCTGGCCTGCTGGGTTTCAGTCAGGACTCCTGCTGCAGCTCCTTTGAAGCCTCTCTCTCTAAAAGCATTTAACTCCTAGAGATGGTGGTGTTGCCTTAAGGGAGTGGAGGTGAGAAGGATGCAAGGATCCCACCCCATCCAGGTCCGGAGCCCTGTTTTGACCCACCATTGTGGGCTTCGGTCAGGCAGTACTTACATGCTGGTGTACATCCGCTGGCCATTCTGCTGGTTCTGTAGGCGTGTTTTTGCCAAGTCAATGGGAAACACACAGGTGACCCCGATGAGCCCAGCTATCCCTCCATTGATCAGCTTGGCAGGTAAACTGCAAGGGATAAGCAAAAGACAGGTCTCTGCAATGGGAATTTAAGTCAAAGAGGGGACGAGAACCTGGAACAGAAAGCTGGACCCTGAGAACACATATCAACCACACTGCCCTGAGGCAGGAATATCCATGCAAGGCACTCAAGTGCTTCTGCCAGGTACACCATTTATCCCAGTTCTACAGATGGGAAAACTAAGACACAGAATAACAGGTCAAGCAACGGATTAAAAAAATCAGTGAACCCCAGACCCTTCAGCCACAGTTCCATAGTCTTATCAGCCCTTCAAACCCCAAAGAAAAAAAACTCTAAGCCGCTTTTGATTGAGGTACGTGTCATTACCACTTATTTCATCACTGGCCTTGTCGGTAAGGCATTAAGCTGGGACTTTGGAGACCCACGTTCAGTTTCCCAGTCTGTGCCAAACTCCGTGGGACCCTGGGCAAGTCACTTAATCTGTGTACCTTAGTTTGTCATGGGTAAAATGCAGACGGATCACTTGCACTCACTTTTTTTTGTCCCTCTTGTCTATTTAGACTGCCTCTCACTACACATGTACCACAGTGAGCACACTGAGGCCTCAGTCTCCATTATGGGCAAATAAAAGATATAATAAGTCCAACAGTTGTCAGGCAGGTATACCCGCTTCTTTGAGAAAATGGGGAAACCTAGTTGTATCATGAAATCTGGCTGCCACCAGCAGGTGGACAGAAGCCTGAATGGACCCTGCAACTCCAAAGCCATTCCCTCCATCTCTCAGCCCCTTCTCCCCCCCCCTCTCTCTCTGCAGGGACCACCTCTTAGGATTGGCTTCCTCAGCTAGGAGGGCCCAGGCTGGTGAGCTCCCACCATGGCTCTGTCCTTGGAGCTCCTGACTAGTCAGCAGGTGGCACTGCTGAGTGGCAAACTCAGGCCTTCAGCAGTTTGGGGTTTGTTCACACACTGACGGGAACTGAGTAAAGCTTTCAACATGAAGCAAGAACATGCCCCGACTCCAGAGATAGACACCACCAAATCAGCACGTGGGTTCAGATTGGAGCACTCCATTTGCTTTAGTCCAGTACCCCACTTAAAAAGTGTGTCCCGCCCCCCCGCTACACCCCCAGTAGCACTCAGGGACTGAAAAGTTACTAGCCCAGAGTCCAAGGTTGTCTATAGTCCCTCAAGGGCCAATGCCAGACCAAGGGAACAGCATGTTCTGACCCCATTTAAGGATCTGGTCTCTCCTTAACCGTCAGGAAGAGGAAGGAGTGTTTTAGTGCCGGAAAGAAGGCAGTAGACACACTTCTAACTAGTGATTCATGACACATTAGCTGTTAACAGCATGTGTGAAAAACCCATTGCAAAGGGCTTAGCTGACAGGCGAGCATTATATGCTTTCAGAACCAGTAAAGACATCTCAAATACTGCTCCTGGAACTCTGTTCAGGAAGTGGGGCATGGAAGAGTGTGTGTATGAGGCACTAAAAGCCTGGTAAACCACTACAACAGGAGTCAGTGGAGCCTCTTGGACAGATGTTAAGCTGCACACTTGCAGATGTGGAGGGATGAGATTTCACATTCCAAGAAATCAGAAACAGAAGCAGGCAGCACATGTGTGGCAAGTGTCACTCTCCACTGTAGCTAAAGACGAAGGGAGCCCACAAGATCGTTCCAGTCCGTTTCCTCCAGAAAAACTGCAGGACATGAACCCTGGGACATGGGATGTGCTGGATATTCAAATGCTGATTGAGTGTGCTCCTGATCACAGCTAAATGGACTGAGAAATACTACGAGCCCATGGAGCGAATTGCCCAAGAGGCCTCCTCTTTCTCCAGGATAATACATGTTTCACAGAAGGCAGCAGGGCTCAGAGACATGGACAGAAGCACTGTTCCAAGCTAAGGTGCTGGCAGGATAGGTTGCTGGAGTGATGCAAGGTGAACAGACAGGCTGACTGCCAGAGCAGCTTGGCAGAGGCTCTGTTAACACCTCCTGCACTGAGAAGCCTTCCAGAGTACTATCTATAATGGATGTGGCAGAAGCGATCAAGTTACTGGCATAGCAAGAAAGTTTGTGCCTCGGTTCAGGTTATGAAGGCTTAGGGGTATAGGACAGGGAGTAGGCCTCCAGGAAACAGAAAGCGAAAGGCACTTCCTCCTTAACACACAACACTGTGGCCCAAGCACCAGCGCTATTGTGCAAAAGATAAAAAGGGAACAAATGGTAAAGGTCTGGGCTGGCTGGGAGGGGGGGAGGGAGTATACAATCCGTTGGGCTGGTAGGGAGCCTGAGGCAGTATACAATCTGCAAGAGGCCTGCAGAAAGCTTCTCCCCTTGGCTGTTATTAGGCTGTGGGAAATGCTTGCTCAATATGCCCAGCGCATATGGATTTCAACAGATCAGATCCCTTCAGAAACAACACAGTGAGGGGGAGAACATGTTTACAGACTCGCATGGCCAAATATTTCTGGAAGACTCTGTGGAAGTGCCCCCCTGAAATGTATACCATCAACCCAACTTGCAAATGGGAAAACTGAGGCACAGAGTCCAAGTGCAGCTTCAGAGCAAAGATGAGCTTGAAATTAAGACAGGTGATCCCAGTTCTACCACCAATTTTCTTGGGTGGTACTGGGCAATTTACTCAGCCTCTTTAACTTATATCTCTTGCTAAATGGGATAACCTTCTCTTTCTCTCATCCTCTATCCGATCTATTTAGACTACTTAGACTGTGAACTCTTCTAGACAGGCATTGTCTCTTACCAGGTGTGTGTACACTACTTACCATTTAGTCCTCCATTGTGCTATAGCAATACAAACAAAAGAAAATACTTTGCCAAAGTATGTGCAGCAAGTGCACAGCACAGGTAGGAACAGGCTCTGCTCTTCTGCAGCCCAGGCTTGACTGTTAGGTCTCCAGGAATTCTTCTTTCCTTGCTCTATACCCAGCCAGTAAGCTAAAAAGGCATCCTGGAAAGCAATGCGTTATCCCTCTGCCTCAATCTCAGCCTCCTGCCCTGCCTGCACCCTCTAGCTGTTCAGCTACAGCTGGGTTTATGGTACACAGATGCCCGATATTAGTCTTTCACTCTGCTATGGTCATCAGGCATATACAGCTACCAGGCCTATCAAGGGTGAATCTAGGCATGCACTTCACAGAAGAACACACACCGAGCTCCTGACACTCATGACAAATGTTTTTCAGGGCAAAAGTGTACTAGAACAGGGGTGTCAAATTCACCCTGAGCTGGATCTGAACTGAAGGGCTCCCACCAGGCTTGATCTGTGGGGCCAGCGGCACTTACAACAGGTCCAGGGGCTGTTGGGCAAGCAAGGACTGTAACTGCACAGACCTTACTTGGCCTCCTGCCACTGATGATTAAAATCCATTAGGGCCCAAGGACATGGCCCCATTGCCAACTCCCTCAACTTCTGATAGCTCACCAGGCAGAAACCAGCACACAGGCTATACATTTGACACCACTGTATTAGAGTGTCTTCTAGTTGCTGTATGCTCAGTTTAGGAGCCATGGTTTTTCCTTGCAGGAAAAGAGTCCAACCATAACAAGCCCCAGTAAGAGCAGCCAGTTTCTCACCAGCATCAGACACAACCAAATCCCCAAGCCCTTTGTCACAAGATAACATTCATCCTCTGACCTCACTGCTCCCTGAGGTCAGCAGTTGTGCATTAATAAAGGGGTTTGACATTGGAACCATAGCATAGCTTGGGAACCAGACAGGAGATGCCTCTATTTTGGACCAACTCTGAACAGTAAGCAAATCATGAACCCTGGCTGAGCTAGCAGAAATTAAACTCACAGACAGGGCTCTGCTAAACCCCTGAAGCCAGGTTTCTGGAAAGGTTTGTAGTGTAAGCCACAGGAGTCAGAAGCACTTTCCAAGACAAAAATTCAGCCATGAGGCTAACAGATGCAGGGTTTGTCAGATACCAGCTGTGCACTCCAGTTGTGCTGGTCATTCTAGATGGGAATGGCAGTGCTGGGATACAACATCCCCAAGATTACACAAAGTCTGCCTCAGTGAGAGGGTGCAAGAGAGCTACATACTGGAACAGCTCCTCCAAGGGCTTCAATACATGGACAAACAGGAGGGCACCTAAATGCACCTCTAAAAGGTGTAGAAGCAAGGAGATGGGAAGTGCAGGGTAAAAGATAGAAATAACAGAGGGACACTAGACAGGAGACAAGGAGGAGAGGCTGGACAGAGCAGGTGAGAAGGGAACAGAGAAGGATTTAGAGTGTATAAGGGTATAAGTCACCATCTCATCTACATTGCTACATACCACACAGCAATCCTCCCATCCAGTCACTCCAGTCTGGGAGGGGGCACACAGTAGCAAAACTTTTTTACCTGATCTGTTTATCAGCCATTTAATTCAGACTTGATCCTGTTAAAAATGGACTTGTTCCTTCTGAACGAATGTGCCTTCACTGCTTTCTTTTTCAGTCACCGCCTCAATCCTAACAAAGGTTGGCTTTGATTTTCCTGAGAAGAGAGACAAATAAAAAATAATAATTTTAAAAAAATGAAAAGGACATCATAGGAGATGAGACTGAGAACAAGGAAATGAGATACCCAAAGCCTGAACCATAGTGGGGATGGGTCCAGTGTATGCCAGGGCCAACCCCATTCCTGATTAAAGTGAGCCTGGCCTATTATAGAGCAGCCATCTCACACTAGGGCGTGGGATCATGTTTTGTGCCCATAAAGCTAGTTCGCTGCAGGTCAGTGATTTGGTCACAGGGACTGCTCACAAACTACAGGCAGGACCTGCTTCCTCAGAGAGGAAGGGAGGCGAGTCACTCTCCCTTCTCACTCTTATTTTGAAGAGACAAGTTTCCCAATTGATTTACTTTCTGCCACATGCAGAAAAAAAAAGTCTCAAGGCTGAAGAATCATCACATCTGCACACCCACCATATGGCTTTGAGAGGGCTGCCAAGGGCACCAAGCTGTAGCAACGCAGGAGGAATGGAGGGCAATGAGACTAAGCCAACACCCTGCACAGCTTAATGGGACAGCAATATATTTGGCAGCTGCATTTTCACACCCTTTGGTTACCCAGGCCTGAAAGAGACCTCCTGGCTCATCAGCTACTGCAGGTGACCATGTTGTAGGACCCCTTTCACAAACTGACCCAGCTCCACCTTAAAACCAATCAGATGTATTCAAATTTCCAGCCTACATTTATCCATAGCCAATTTTAGCCCCATCCATTCTAGTGCCCATTATGTTCTTAAGCTTAAATAGCTCTTCTCTGTCCCCTCTGTTCACCCTTCCTGCCCTCCAGTGCATTTAGGAACAGCAAATCACATCTCAGCAAAATGAAAGCTAAAGTCAAGCTCCTTTAATCTCCTCCCATAAGTCAGGATGAACTGGGAAATGGACAGCTTTGCAGCCCTTCTTCTGCACCTATTCCAGCTTGAATGAGTCTCCCTTGAATTGGATGGCCAGAATGGCATGCAGTAAGGGTGTCAAAGAGCCAGTCTGCTAAACCCTATTATTCTGCTTATAGTGTTACCTCTGGGTCTCAGGCTGGACCTACACACCACATCCTGCATGTAGGGCCAGTTCATGCATCTGATCTAGCCCGCAGACCAGCCTTGCACCCCTCACCTGGCACACAGAGCCAAAGGAGTTTGATATCCCTGGTATACAGTATCCTAGAGGTCTCAAAAGTGTCTCATGCCATGGCATGCATGTCTCCCTGGCTCTGCTAGAAATGCCTCACACAACACATCCTTGTGTCACACACTTGCCCTTTTCCACATTCTAAGTGCATTGACGGTTCAGTTGTTCCCTCCCAAGCATAAAAGTCTTGTCCTTCCCAACTTAGCCCCTTTGCTAAGCAGGCAGAGTTTTTCAAGCCTGGCACCCAAAAGCTAGTGGTCACTTCTGACATGTTTGGATCCAGTTGCTTGTACATGAGTTATGAACTAGAGCCATGGCTAATTTTGCATGCAATCTGAGACCCCAGTCAGCATAGGCCAGCACTCAACAGCCATGGTGCACTAACCGTGGTGTCTTCCGGACCAGTGGCTGACCCAGATGCCCTCAGGTCCTAATACTATTATTTTGCTATACAAGAAAGCTTCACTGACCAGATCTACATAACCAGGTTAGTTGTGCCTCTCCCCTCCCAGCTCCACTGTGCAGCAGGGCATCCCAGAGTGCATCGCCAAAAACATAGGTCCTCAGAGGACTCTATCCCCTGCTGAGGCCTTATGGAAGAGAAATTTTTCTAAAATGCATGGACATAAACACAACAAGGCACAAACAGAACATGGTGGGGGTAAATGAACAAAGAAGGGACACCAGGTTGAGGAAAAAGTTAATGCACATCCACCACAACTGCATTTGTTGCGAGCAGGTCAGATGAGAATCTGAAGCTGGTTAAGAAAATCCACAAGTAAGTACATAACTTAAGATGGGACTTAAGGCTGGAAACCAAATGAGAAAGATCCCACAATACTCCAGCTGGGACAGCAGAGCACTTGCATGAGCAGTCAAAGCAACAAGCTCCATTCAAATTCCCATAACACCAGATAAAAGTAAGTACTAGATACAGACCCTGAGCAATGCCAGTTTCTTTTTACTTGCAGGGGTAGCACAGGAGATAGCAGCATGCACACACACCGGTGAGGAACCCTTTGCTCCATCACACTATTCACAGTGGCTTCAGGGACTCCTTTTGAACAAAATATTAGTGCACCTGGTGCTGCATGGGAAGTTGCAGAGCTAGCACTGTGCTTTACCCCAGCACTCCCAAGAGGATTAAACCAAAAAAACAAAACCAATCCCACCCCCCTCCCATATTCTTAATTTCTCACCTCCTCATTCTATTGCTCCATGAGAGCAGATGGTACCTGGTTGCCATCTGGCAACTCAGTGCCTCTCAGCTGCCTCACTTCAGTTGCTTGGTGAGTGGCAATGCAAAAATAGTTAAGAGGAAAAAAGCCACTTGCCCTCTGGCTTGGCAATGAGATAATATTGATCCTAGGTCCTCCAACTGGATTCTTCAACCCACACAGAAAAGTTGGATGTTCCACAAGGTGATGCAGAAGGCTAACAGCTTTTTATTTCAGGGTACAGCGGGGTGACAAACAGTGTTCATAATAAACGAGGGGCACATACAACTGCAGAGAGCTACAGTACAAAGCAGCACTGTGCAGGATCCCACACACTGCTCTGGTAAGGCGGCTCACCTGCCTCATTCCTCTAGTTGTACAAAAGGAATGAGGCGAGATGTACATGTTGCTTGGGCAGTACAGAATCACAGAAACTGAGGAAGGACACAGTATATCATCTGCATAGCCATGTATGTGGGCTACGCTGGGCTCATGGGTGGGTCCAGGATTTAGAAAAGTGGCTGGGACATGGGAGAAAGTGGAAGAGCCAGCAGGGAGCAAAACCAGGAAGAGGGAATGCATCTACTGTTGTCACTGTTTCCTGCCAAGCCCACAGCTAGAGCCCCTGGGTTGGTGTAGGATACCCAACAGGGCTGGCCAGGGAGCAGGGGCAGGAAAGAATGATCTATTCACTGCTGCCAGTGACCCTGGCTGAACCCAGCTTCCTGCACAGCCACTCCCTATAACTGGAGCCCCCAGGTTGAGAGGAGACCCCATGCGGACCCATCCACCACTGTACTTTGCTGACCCAGGCATGGGGGAGCCCCAGAGCTGCTCCTGCTCCATTTCAGCTGTGGGCTTCAGGAAGCACCTGCACAGGTGCTGTGTGCAACCAGGGACAGGAGCAGTGGTGGACAGGTCCCTCTTCACTGCTCTCTGGCCCACCCCCTCTCCCCATGTCCCTTGCTGCCCCAGAGATTTTGACCGTGCCTTAAACCCCAACTCATCATAGCCCTGCTGGCTCTTCCCACCCTCCCCTGTGTCCCACACTGGCCAGGAGCAGAGGGAGAAAGAGGGAAAGCCACCCCACTCTGCCCAAAAAACAGAAGTAGCTCTCTGTAGCTGGCACTGAGTCAGAGAGCCTGGAGTCATGCTAACTCCCTAACAGCCACCTCCTATGCCTCCTCCACCCACACACCGCCCCATGAAGAGCTAGGACCTTTCTCCCTACACTGGCAGTAAGAATCAAAGCGGGTGCAACCGCACCACTGCACCTGCCCTGGATCCACCCCTGCCTGGGCCTCCAGATACATTTTCGATGGTTATCCTAAACTCAGACACTAGGAGAGACCAGCACACTGACCCACAGAGAAATGGGAGCCCTAGTTCACTCTCACCATCACCTTACTGGTCAGCATCCCATTTGTGGCCCCCTTTTCCACCAGTCTCTTCCTCAAAAGGAGTTAATGAATGGCAGATGGGAATACATCAGAATCCCAGACAGACACAAAGGTACGGATATGCCTGGACACTTGTCTAGCTAAAGAGCAGTTCATTTCAGTTTAACTTTAACCTGATTTCTAATCAACCTAACCCAAAATAAGAGCATCCACACACAATAGGGTTTGCACAGGGTCCCCTCTACTGTTAAACTGCTAGAGCTCTCACATACGCAAGCCCCATACCATGAAGACTCACTTATTACCAGGGTTCCTGGTTTTCTCTGATTTAAAAAAAAAAACAACAACTATTTTCAGATTTTAAAAAAGTAACCCAAAATCCACATTTTTTCAAGATTAAAATGAAACGATAGCTAGATATGTTTCATTTAAATCATGGAAAAAATGTAGA